TGTCGATCAAAGCATACTAGATACGCTCAAACTGTTGGTGAATTGTCTAATCTCTAATGCATTATTGAACAGCGTTCATCATAATAAAATGTAAATGATACGTTTTCATGAGTATGAATCTGCCATAAGCAGGTAATAGTAGCTGCGATACTAAATTATGCAAGAAATGAGTTACATAAATATTATAAACTTGTAGTTGTTTAATGTTTTTAATATTTAAAAGTAAATTTAGCAAGCAATCAGTTATCAGACTAAAAACGTATGCCAATCATGACGTTCAACATTTGTAGAGAACGCATACGAAAACGTACAACCGACAGAACATGATCTGCCGGTCGGTTAAAAGTGAATTAAAACATTACGTAGCATCGCAGCCACCGCTGAAACATATTTATTTACTTTACGCGGCTTTTAGCAGCGACTTCACTATAACTAAAATGAATTGACTGCTTGATGCTAGCAAACAACGTCATTCATGTCGATATAAATTAAAGAGAAGCAGAGAAAGGATAGACGCAATGCTGGATTAGAGGTGAATAATTAAATTTGCTAAAAATTCCTAAGTTTTTTGTGAACAACGAGCATTTTTGTGATAATTTTAAATAAAAATAAAATGGAGAATTTTAATTAACACTTGATAAAAGAAAAGAAATGTAACAATCGTTCAATTTATAACTAAGATAACATATATACTATATATAACTAATTATTTGCTAGAGTACGTAAAACTTTTCACAGTGGCAGGTGAGTGTCTAGTTTATCAAAGACTGTGATATGCTGTTGTGATTTTTTACGGGGGCAATTACAATATTAAGGTAAATACTGACAATATAAACACTGGCATTAAAAAACATTGACAACCCATTTACGTTAGAATTCCGACATAATCAGGCGATAGGGCGGGACAGATGTCATTATTATTTATTCGAGACTTTAAACTCAAGTTGACTATTTGTTTTCTAAAGCCAACTCGTGGCCTTTAAAACGCAAACCCTACACCAATAAATACTTGACCCCCGGGATTCGTTTTCAATCAAATGTGCGGTACAACGAGCATTCAAAACAACATAATCAGTAGCATTATTTCAACGATGATGTTTTTGTCGAATTGCGACTCAAATACGAAGTGTGGTATTACATAGAAAATTAAGTTATCAGAACGAATATGTCATATTAACATTGACGCATCCGATATGAAATGGCTGAGTTATACCTGAGAATGTTCTTCAAGAGCGATACGATCACTGTAATTGTCGGCAAATTAGTTAGCTAGTGCACAGCCAAGCCATTGGTCAATTGTATGTAATTCAGTGCCGCCATGTTTGTCCAGAATATCCCTTGCTCAGCTGACAGTAAACCTCACGGCGCTGCTAAAAATTACAATTCCAATGAATAATTTATTCGTAGGTAAAAGGATGAAAAACATACTTATGAATAACAAATTGAGATTGCATTCGAAATAGTTTCATTAAAATAACAACGCAAAGAACAGATTTTTATCTTTTGAGTGATAATATATTTTTTTGCGACAAACAATTCAGGCTCTTATCAGTTGTCTGGGAGCTTACTAGTACAGGCGTTCATGAGAAACACTGTAAAAAATAAATGTAAAACAGTGATTTTAGTTCTTCACGCAACAAAGATTGAAGTTATGCATGCTGGAGGATCTAAAGAGTATTATCGAGTGTATAAAGATCCAGTCATTAACTTATAACTTCTCTGTTAACCTCTGTTTAACTTATATTCTGTATGACTCTTCTTATTCTCTTTTGTTGTGAAAACAGAACACAAGACAACATGAGCGCAGGTTGAGGTGATTGCGTGATGCAAGGTACCAGACCTAGAAACAGGTCATTTCTCAAAAACGGCCATTCCTAGAGAAAGGCCACATCTAGGGACAAGCCACTCCTTGAGATGCGGCAGGCGAGGTTGTTCTCTGCGCGCATCCAGTCTCCCCAGAGGAATGCGCACTGAGAATGAGATCCCTGGCGCTAAATGCTCACTACTTCGCTGATACGCTCGGGCAAATCTGTCACGTCAGTGCCAAAATCGTCTAGAATTAACTGTGTCCTTATCTTTTATTAAGAAATATTCTCGACTTGGAAGGGTAAATGGTCCGTATATTTTCTGAAAATATTATCTATGCTGTTTGAAGTGATATTACCGATAGCTATGTATAGCATTAGTAAGGTAAATAGCTAGGCTGATGAAAAATGTCATAAATTTCCGAAGAGGTTGGCTTGCATTTCATTCTTGTTCCGGCAAATTTAAAAAAAAAACAGCGTTTAAAAATTTTTTCAAACATGACATTTCTTAAATTTTTCAAAACATGGTACATGGATACATTAGAATGCATACGAGAGGATCATTATTTCTAATTGAAAATTTATGGCAGCATTAGCTATGGATCATTACATTATCAGTCGCGTGACTGCCGTAGAAATGCCACGGTAGTGCAGGAAGAAACACTAAGGAGCTGTTATTAGGGTCGCTCTTTGCCTGTTAAATTGACGCCTCAGACGGGCTTTAATTGTCACGACTACAGCGGCAGTGAGTAGTACCGGCGCTGTGGAAATGCAGTATTTTTCTTCACGGCTTGTCTTGCCAATGCGGGCGTTCAGAGGCGCGAAGACGCCGGCCAGTGCCTTTAGCCTGCGTTCTTGGAAATGCTCGCTGCTCCGAAAGTGATTATTTGAGACCGGGTGTAAAAAAAGTTGCTGCTGGCCAATAGCGCAGCAGCCGCGGACAGCACCCTGGGTGGAATTTCAAACTGGGTGGAATTATTGGGTGTAATTGTAATTTTGTTAAAATTAAACCCTCATATCGAATTATGCCATATACACCGATTGCAGGGTGCTTGATCGGGAGTAATAATATATTTATGGCTGATTGATATACCTTAACACGTTAAGTGTGGCAACGATTAATAAGGTTACCGCATTCAGTAAAAGTTAAAAAAAGTGAAGTTTCAAAATAATTGATATATTTTAGAGAAGAGATTCTGGCTTATGCCCAGTACGACCAGTGACGATTAATCAGTTAGCAGTGGCCATTTTAATACAGTATAAGTATTGAAACATAACATTAACTCAAAAATTAATACAATTTACTACCCGATCATAGAAGCCTACACCTCTTTTGGTACTGGAAAAAGGTGATTTTTGAGTCGCATAGATAAGAATTTTCATCATTGCAGTCCGGTACAAAATAACGAATAATAAATTCACATGCTTGGACAGACAGTATTCTGTGGCCGTGTTTTCAGATCCAATCTAGCATATGTTCAATAGTCTTGTTTGAAACCTATCAATGAAGTAAAAAAATTGTTTAAATTTCGATGATGTGAAAGCAAGATTTGATTTTGGCACTCAGGTAAAAGATTTGGCGAGGGACTATAATAAGTCGATAAGTGCTAGCAAGGATTTCTTAGCTTACTTAACCAACATTACACGGAATAGGTTGCAGCAACGAACTGTACGTGGTAACCTCAATAGGACAGACTCATTTCAGAACATTATTGGTTAGCTGCCTCGAGTATAGAATTCACTGAAAGTTTTTAATAAATGTATTCAATCGACTGATTTAGTAGTAGGAAAATAAATTTTAATAAATGCTTTCGATTCCGAACGATTGATTCACTTGAAAGATTGTGTTGCAGCCTTGGCACGATGAAATTAATATTGAGTGTAACGAATGTGAATATTAAACGTTTCAGTCTATATTGGACAAGAAGCTCGAAAGATTGCCACTTGCGGGATAATGGAAATTATAATATCTTTATAAGTTTAAGTTTCGCGAAAATTCTACCCAAAAAGAAAGAAATTGGGGATTGACGAACGAAATTTGATATATATTTTTTTCTCTCTCTTGAAAGAACGACCAATCTGTATTGTTCAACTCAATCCAAATGCAAGGGTGTTTTAATTACATGCCATGCGTATCAATATAAATTCATAATGAATACAGAGTCATTAAAACGGTCTGAGGAATCATAGGAAACTTAATAGTTCATCAATGCTTGAACTCGATATCCTAGCGGAAGATATTCTCATCAAAAGTTTTATTTATACTTATATCGATCATAGAAATTGATAGACAGGTAGTAAAAATAGATGCATAGTATAGACTATGGCGAAGTGGAAATATACGAGATGACTTTCACAGCAGCTCTGTATAGAGTAGAGTATCGTTATAGCTAACCGAACACAAGTTCTTTACACTCTGTACACGCACTATTATCCGTAAAATTATCAAGTTGAAAGAAAATCGTTGAATAAAAATTTTCAATCACAACAGTTGAGATGAGCCTAAATTTATCTAATAAATACTTTACTCGCAAATCTCGGCTATTGCTCGCGGGCGTCACACTTCACGCGGACGTCAGAAGCCTATAAAGAAGATGACATCAACAGGGAACATCGAAGACTGCTCATGTCAGTCGATTCTAATGCGACGAGTCTCTTCCATCAATAAGTGTTTGTCTAAGGGAGAATATATAAAAATAGATAATTCCTAGTAACAAAATAGCCTAAGAGACTTATTTAGAAAAGTTACACACACGGCAGCGGAAGGAATACAATTTGCGCAGCATTTTTGTACTTTCAGCCGCGCTATGACGAACAACAAACTGTGAGTTGAAGAGCCAAGTGAAAGAACGACAGTGATTTTTGTTATTGTTTTCGTTTTCAAGTTGACGAGAAGTCAGCCAATCCAACGCGCTCAACGCTTAGCGGAATTGCTCGCTTTATGTCAAGTTATTCATCAAAATCTGCGGTCCAAGTTACTGATTGACGGGGCCGTGTTCCGATAAATTAGAGAGGATCATTGTCTTCAATTTACCATCTAAATTAAATTAAATGAAAAAATTACTATTCGTTTTTTTTGTAGAACTATTCATTTGAATTATTTAGTTTGGTATGTGAAAAAATTAAGTTTTCACATGGCGAAGAGACAGGTAGAAAATTATTTCTTACTTGTAATCTTACATTATTATCAGCAGAACGGGCTCCTAACAAACTAATTCTGTATGACGTACTTGCAGGCTAGAGATATTATACATTTATTTACATCCAATGAAAATTCTCCAATAAATTAACAGCAATTCTATACAGAAATGTATGATAGCAGGAAAATTCAATTGCTTTTCGAAGACTGTAAACACTCTGAGATTTCATATTCAACAGAACACTACGATAATAACGGCGATAAACTCTCAATGTACTGGTGAGATAGTGGATAAAACCAGTGTCATTATATCTAGAGAACAGCCATATCCAACATCCCATATCGCTATGAATCTACGATCGACACCGGCCATTGACACAGTAAATCTAGCATTATTGTAATCTACCAACAACAAAGATCTTATCGTAGAATTTGTTACGAATAACTAACGCTCATCGATACACATCCAGGATATTATTTCTCAATCGAGAACTGAAAACTTGTCGTCTTCGTAAATGCCTTCTTCTTGAGTTACAATATTAACCATAAGAACAATGGGAGTTGGACATTTATTAAGATGGTCAAATAAAGACCTTATGCTGCAATGAACGCGAAATTAATCAGTTAGTTAACTAACCGCTCAGCAATGACTATTTGAGTCTTGATGAAAGTATAAGTATAATCAGAACAGAGAATGGTTTTCATGCCGCAATGTTTGCTGGGCTTAATTGAGGATTAAAATTTATAAAGATGTAATGTGACGGCATTATGATTTTGTGTGTTTCATGCTAGTATGATGCTGTGTACATAGCAGTCAAGAGAAACATTTCCTAGACAACTTTTTTTTCACTTCAAGGGACTTTATTTCCTACAAAAGAGTAGAGTGATAGAGAGAATCTCTTCGAAAATTAGTTATATTATTGATTTAAGGAGCTCAGGGGAAATTCTAATTAATCTTTAAGAGGAAGAGATCCCATTGTCTGGGACATATTGTTTTTTGTTTTGCGCCTCCAGAATTTCCGGGCTCTCAAATTATGATCATAATATTCTCAGTATTAAATCCTCAGAAGCATTTGTTGAAACGCAAATATGATAAATGATAAATAGTATAGCAATAGGGAAAGCTTCGAAAAGTACTCAAGATTTACCTCGGTAGGATATAAAGCAGGAATAAAAAGCTAGTGTGGGTAGTGATGACTGAAAATTTAATGTATGCGGGTGTATATTGGCATGATTCAAGTAGAGCTGGTATTTACTGCAGGATCCATAGTCTATACGAAGGACTTTGGGTCGAGTGGATGTGGCTTGGGCGGGGAGGCGGCGGGCACGGAGAGGCGATGATGGTTCCTGAAGACTGTGTTCTGCAGCGTCCTCTTCCACTTGTCCTGAGTGTCGCGGAGCTTCAGCAGCCATGTTTGCTGTAACAAACAGAACTTTAATTTATCCAATATTACTTGCGATTTTACTTATTTCAAGCTAGCGACAGCTGCTGCTCAACATATTTCGACGTATTTCTCCGTAAAATTCTGTAATGAGATTTTTATTTCACTTTCACGTTCTGGAGTCTCCATTAGATTATAAATTTTAATAGTTACACAGTTTGAGTACATCTGAAAATCTAAAAATGTGTGCTTTTTTAATCTCACGCGACAAATATTCTGTTTTTATTATTTTTTTAGCGTTGTGTTACATTTCAATTTAGGAGTAAAAATGAACCTCACCCCCCATTAGCCTTCTCTAAGTTACCCGTTTGAAAATATATGATGGACTTCAACGTTCTAGTCTCTATGCTGGCGGAGCGTTGAATGAGAAATATTGTTATCTTTCCGTCCTCAATTGTTTCTCTTACGAAAAACTTGAATTTAATAGCTGAAAATAAGCAGGGAAGGAAGCATATCGCAAATCCCGAGTAATGGGGAGTTCTCAGTTCAGACGAAACTTGAAAATACTTCCCATATAACTTTTTGAATTCGTCATCGCTTTGATTTCTAAATCTATTTTCAACATTAAGCTCTGAAACTTTTAATTTTGAGCCAAAAACTCACAATAATGCTCAGGTTTTCAAAATCTTTGAACATTTAAAATAAATGTAGATCACTATTTGTATACATCTATTCCTTTAATTATACGACGCAGTTGGTGCTTAGTTACGAGCGCGCATCAAAGCTTAGACCAGCCGTTGGTTAGGACATAAACTCCTGAATGATTGTTGCCTAACATCAGACAACTTGGAATGGGTGTAGGCCGAGTATAACATACCGAGTATAACATCCGTTTATAGAGCACAAAGTACGTGGTCCATTATCAACGCAAGAAAAAAGGCATCGAAAAAACATGCTCAATGTTCAATTAACAATTAAAATCATAAATTCCATAATGAGGGACATTCTTCAACTGTTATTTTTTGGCCTATTACGGTTAATGACGGTCACAAGTCAACGGATTGATTGTTTACAATACTCAGGTAACTACGAAAGCAAAATTAAATGACCCATCCCAGACTCATGATACTCTATGAACTAAGTAATGCTTTTTGGCCGCTGCAATTAATAGGACTCAAAATGTTTTTTTTTGTTTTAAATACTGCCCCTAGCTTTGTGAAACAGCTTTTGAGTTTGTTAATTATCAGTGCAATATGTTGTTGCTCTAATGAGCAATTCTCGATTAATGTTGACATGGTTAGATATGTGGGAATATGCCAAATATCTCCCCCAAACGAATATTGTCCCAAATTTTTAATATATCTCGTTAATAAGAATTATGTGTTTCAGCAATAAAATTTTGTTCGACAGTTATTATCATCATGCTAGCTGATTTGTGATCAGACCATCCAATTTACTGGCAGTCAAATTTTAAATGGCAAAGGTAATAATAATAATATAATGCAATGAAATTCGATAATCTGAGATCAATGCTTCTCAGGCTTCACCCTAACAACTTTGTCCGTCCTTAATTAAGTATTTAAACAAGTCGGAAGTCAGAACTGTTTTACTCTTGTCTTTAGCAGCTCTAATTAACTGGGCATTCATCTTGTTGTGCTGTCAACCCAGTTAATCTGATGATTCGGTGAGACCATCGGTTTCCTTTCAATTACAGATGTTTATTTGTCACGCTGACGTTCTCTCTTCAACACCAAATTTGTGAAGTCTGAAATAATTTTTTTATGAGACCATGCTCCAGCTTGATGCATTTTGTTCTCTTTAATTATTCTTTCCTCACGTAGGAGGACACACCGCCAAGCAAATGGAAAAAAAGATCAATGAAACGAAAAAAATTTCCAAGTTAATGCCCGTACAAGCTTAACAGTTAGGCGGGTGACAATTGGACAGGCGAGAAAGGCGCTCCTTGACTTTAATAAACGACAACGGGATATTGACAAGAAAAACGTAATGTTAACCAATACATGCTATTATACTAGCTACCATAAAACTCCAGACAGTCGGTCACTAAAAAAGGAACTTAACAAAGGTAATGCCAATATTTCACTGATGAAAACAAGATACTACTATTGTATACACTTGCTATTAGTATTGGTAGGCAAAATTTATTCCTTTAAACACGTTTCATTGAAGACCAGAGGCCGGATTATAAAAACTTCGTAACTTTTTGTACTTACGCACAAAAAGTGTTAGTAAATCAATATTTTCATATTGCTTCAGCAGACACCCCAAACTTGTACGTAACTCCGCTTACGACACCTCCGAGCTGGCGTACAGTTACGCTCAAATTCTTGGACGTAGCTTCCCGCGCAAATAATGTTTTGATAATACCACCGCTAAAGTTACGTATTCATAGCAGCACTTACGCAACATAAAAGTGGCTACGTGTACTTAGCGATGTTTTGATATTCTGGCCCCAGAGCATTTGTTTTATTGACAATGTTCTCATTAGTTTTTTTCAATAGTACCATAGGACTCAAAATAAGAATGAAAATTTCTTCAGCCAATCCTGATAGTCGCGAACGTCACACTTCACGCGGACGTCAGAAGCCCAAAGAAAATGACATCAACTGGGAATATCGAAGACTGCTTATGTCAGTCAGGCCAGTCTATTCTAATGCGACGAGTCCCTTCCGTCAACAAGTGTTTGTCTAAGAGGGAATAGCCGGCAAAGTTGGATGAGAATGAACGTGTTACGCAATTATTTCTATTATATCCTCATGTTGAGATGTTGGTGAAGAGGCTGGTGACATGAAGTGACGCAAGAAGGCCAGGTGGGCGTGCTGCGCATATGATCTCCAAAAAGTTGCCTCTAGAATTCACAGAGAATTGCTTTGAACACACGGTTTTATTATGTTATTCAGTTCTTTGGCTGTTTTGTAGATTAGAGACGTGACTTGAGAAATAATGGGTCTGAGCGGATTGCCTTGCATGTGGTTTTAACGTTTCCGTACAGGTAACCGGGAGAGTAACTCCGACTATATAGACGTGAGCTTTCGAGACCCTACAACGGAGTTGGCCATACTGATCAGTTTGTTAGCTCAATTTCCATTGAAGTTGTTCCGTAGGGTCTCTTAGCTTGGTACTTCAAATTTCATCAATCAATGCGTCTTGTAACTTGATAATGATTGATTGATACATTCGAAACGTTGTTAAGGAAAAAATGTCCATATGGTACCCTTATTTTCGATTTACCAGTACAAACGATAAATATTGTTCACTATATTGAAAAAAATAATAAGAAAATTGACAATAGAAAAGTTCTCTGGTTTTCATTATACCTAATGTAGATATATGCTCAAACATGTCACAGCAGTGAAAGCTGCATAATAAATAACATAAAATTAACACTGGTTAAGTTCAAAATCACGGAATTTTGTTTTTAAAAAGAGTATGCTACAATATTTTGAAAAATCGGCGGACAACTCGTTAGAATATTTTTCACAATTGAGGAAATACTAGTTCTTACAGAAATCATATGAACCATGATAAAGGAAGTTCATCGTCCGGTATCATTTCTAATCTTCGCCCAAAGAAAGCAACGGTTTCTATACCAATACAACGCTAATATAGTGCTCGCTGCTCGGAGCTGATTGCGTAAATTGGATACAGGCTCCTTGTGCAACAAAAAAAGGAATGCTCTTGACCTCAAGCTAGAGATCCTTTCAAAGAAGTGTTGATACAATCATCTCGAGTCATCTCCATCTTTAACTATGTATTGCTTCTACCTTGAGTCATCTTTAACGAATTGGGTAACGAAGTATTATTGCTCACATTCCTGAGTTATCTTTAACCAAGCATTGCTCTTCATCCCGAGTCATCTTTAACCAAGCACTGCTCTCCATCCCGAGTCATCTTTAACCAAGCATCGCTCTTCATCCTGAGTCATCTTGAAGCACGTATTGCATCCACTCCCAGTCATCTTCAATCTAATGTGTCGCTCTCCAATTATCTTCAATGAATTATATCTTCAATTTAAAAATTATTGCTTTTTCATAAAATTCTGCGTAGAACCAAGCAACCAAATTTTGCTTCCGAGCAGCCGTGCTCTCGGTGAAATGCTCTCGACGAAGGGCTCTACCTAATGTTCTTTACAAAATTCTTTCCTCGACTGCGCGTTTCCTCGAACGATTATTTTCTCGTACAAAGGTTTTCACGAGAAAATTTCCTAGCAAATAAAATTTAATTTTATCTATACCAAGTGAACACGTATTTTTCCGTGCCCTATGATCGTAGGTTTTTCGATGCTGTTGGCCCGAGTATATAAGTGATTAGCCGCATCGATTTTTCAAATAATTCAAGTAAAAATACGAAGGCCGCAGCCAGGTAGTTTTCCTAACTGACAACTAGAATCCCCTATTTTTTTCGTATACACGTAAGTGGCTTATTAATTTGATTATTTGTTCCGACACTGACAAATAAAGACATTCATCTAAGTGACAAGAAAGGGAGATTTGACATTTACGTAAGGATTGAAATGAGTTTTAAAACTTACTCGTAAAGTGACGACATAAAATGTATTGGCATTAAGCCTTCGGTATATCAAGTGGCTCTGCATGTGATAACATATAGAGTGTACTTTTAGTGGCACTGATTGAATTTGGATCAAAATCCACACTCTCGCATTTCATTTCCAAATAAATTATTAGGTAGACTGATTTTTTCTTCAAGATCTTACAACAGAGCAAATAATCATTGGGTGCGAAAATGTTATGCCATATGCATTCCATTACTCCTGACACTCCCTTCCTCCCATTTACATTCGTCGAGGGGCAAATATTATTTGATGGCATTTAAAATTTATTTCACACTCGACCAGGTCCGCATAATAACATGACACGTCTTCAAGAAGAGGACCCAGGACCGACTAAACTGAAGTCTGCTTTTAATGAGATCCTATTGTCCGTTTGCTCAGCACACTCTAGAGCAGCCTAATGTGGAGCTCTTATGTCGACTAATGGGCGCCTCGTAGACGCTACCGCATCACAAGCTTTTTCGTTCTGTCTATCGATAGCATTGGCGAGAGAGGTAGGTGCTCATAATTTATTATTCATGTTTAATGTTTCACATAATTTTCTGAACTAATCATTTAATTAAGTGGATCACGCTTCTGTCTTCTTGAATAATGATGTGTGAGCCTAGTAATTCCTCATCCTCTTTCCATCCTCATCAGTGTTATGATTTTCAGTGTATCGATTTGTGTGGGTACCATTTCTCTTAACATTTTTCAAGCAATTCTAGTAGTGAGATTTTTAGGTGATGGGTTGTAGGTGAGGCATCACTAGCTGATCCATTCAGAGTATATTTATTTTGATAGAATTTAGTTGATTCAGTAAATTTACTTTCATAATTTATGAAATCGTGTCATCTTTCATATTCTTTCACTTTACCATGGCCTTTTCTTATTGAAAAAATGACTCCGCAGTTCATTTAACTAAAGATGTTACACTTCCATTCCATCTTGGTCCATCGGAGCGAAATAAATTCAACGATTGATTACTTAGTTGTGTCTGGTTTTCTTGATGGTTTCCAACCTTAAGGCAGGAATGCGAGGATGATTCAAGTCGTGGCCTAACAGAAGCTTAAGTTATGCATGAACAGTACTAAAGAACGGCTTTTAAGCTAAATAAAGTCAGTCATCAAGTGCTTACTGTCTGAAAAAAGGTAAAAACACTAGTGTGTAATTGAATTAGTCTACAATTTAAAGCATGTAAATAAAAAACAAGCGAGCCAATCCCACCTTCGCTTGGTCGGTCTGGGCGAGGAAGGTGTAGACGGCAACAATCTGCTGGAATCTGTTGAGGTTGACCATGACAAAGGCGGACTCGAGTTTGGCCGTGACAGCTTCGCTCACAGGGACGTCGTGTAGGAAGAATCTGTCCAGTGAGAGGGGCTGCTTGTAGACGATGTATCGCATGGCAGACTCGCCGCTCGACGGCCGCGAACAAGAGCTCGGCCAGTTCTCAGACAGGGAAGATTTCTGCGCATGGTTAATTAAAAATTATAAATATTATGGCACCCAAAATAAATTTTTGTTTTCGGAGCGTTCACAAAAACTGGTAGATGGAAATTTATTTTGTGTTTCAGTAGAATTGACGTAATTAGCAAAAGCATTAGAAATTTTCCACACATCAGTTAGGACTTATTTTTACACAAGAATATCGTAACCTAACTCAATTTTTTATTTTAGTCTGAGAGGCTTTAGCCTTAAAAAATAATGGTCTGATTTCCTGACTCATTTTTCAAGCTAATGTTGAAAAAATTTCTGATCAACGAACACGAACGACTGAAACCTCGTTTATATTAAGATTTAAACATTTCAGAAGTCTACTTGCGTTTTGCAGTTTAGAGCACAAAATATAATATACTTGGTGCTAATTACTGTTGTGTCGGTACATATTATTAGAACCATATCATTACTCAGGATTAAAAAGCATGAATTTTAGCAACGAATCGCAAATTTTCAATGAAAAATACCACAAGAATCTTTTTGAAAATCAAGCCGAAGAGAACCCATGTGAAAACTTGCGCTCAACTTGTAACTGGATACGTTCTAATGGCTATCAAGAACGTCGTTGATCGAAGTTTTGGAAGTAGATTGCGAGGCAAGTAATGATAGTTTAGAAAATTTGCTTTCAGAATGCGCGCCAGATTGAGTTAAGTTTCTCTTCATCGGGAGAGCGCGTGGCCCAAAATTTCAGCACGTGGATTATCTACAAAATGAGAAGTTGAAGCCCGGCCGTTGATTGATAAAAAACTTTTTATGTCGAATCTGTCATGCGACCGACGTTATTTTAACGCATAAATTGCAAAATTGTCCTTATGACAATATGATATATGATATTTCGCACTACAGTCATTGTACTCAATCGTACAAGTATACTCATGACTTATACAAGGTCCCAGAAGGATTACTAGAATTTGAAACAAGAACCAACACCAGGGGCCACGGCTATAAACTAAAAAAACAGCGTTGGAACACATCCATGCGACAACATTTCTTCTCGCTTCGAGTAACTGACATGTGGAACAGCCTCCCTGATAGCATCGTTGACGCTCCGAGTATGAACATCTTCAAAAACAGACTAGACGAAGCTATGCAGGAGCATATGTTCAGTCTTAAAATACCTAGCAAATTACGGACCAGGCAATAAGTCCAGCAGCTATCTCAATCAATCGTCAGCTATGGAAAGATCGGGTTCCAAAGGCCGGATCCCTTGTGAATCAAGTCACAAAAAGTTCAAGAATCGGCAACAGGCCATGGGCCTATTTCTTCAACGCTGACACTTCTATTCTATTCTATTCTATAATGATTGGATACTTAATTCCATTGATCGAAAGGAGACAACTTTCCATGTAAAATAAATACTTTCAATGTAAAAACAAAAGCCTTTTTTTCATATAAAAGTTGAGCCGCTGATAATGATTTCATTGATAGTGTCGGTTTTACTAAAAGCTTTTGCGCATCTATTCTTCCGCCACGTACGGCCAGCCCACCAGAAGCATTTTTCAAAGGTTTGTTACAGAGGAAAGAGGCTGAGATAACACCATAGATAAGTCGAGATTTTTTGTTGAGAAATCGTGTACGGAAAGCAGAGGTCGACTACGACGAGCCTGTTGGTTGAATTATTAAAATAGTTTGTTATTACAAAACAATCCTAAATGAAGGTAATTTTGATTATATCTAATTGTAATTTCATTTATTGTGACTGGTGTTCCCACTACAATGGTACGTAGTTTTGTTCATGTTTATTATCGGTTATTAATTAAAAATTAAGTTAATTAATTGTGCTCTTGATGTCAGTAGAAAAATTAAATTGGTATCAGTTTATTGAGTTATTATTAGAACTAGTTTGATCTCGTGTTACATATTGCTTTGCTTATTTCTAGTTTGTTATTTTTTTCAAGTTTGAAATGTCGCTTCGGCAGAGAAGCTCCTAAAATATGAAGTTCATTAAAAAAAATCTAGAATTCTGGAATTAGTTGAAAGAATATTAATCAAAACAAGGTTGGAAATAAGTTTAGCATGAGGTTTAATAGACGACAATTATGGGCTAGGAGAACATCTTGTTTATTTTTCTAGTTAAAGTTTAATAAAAATTATTATTGCAATTATTCGTTCAGTTTTGTTTGTCCATACTCCTTATAGTAAATCGCTTTCCTGGACAATTGCTGGTCTAATGTCCGGGGCTAATGAAAATTTGCTTTATATCTATTCATTGAGTGGTCCCATTGAGTAATTTAAAAAAAAGCGAAGCGTAAATAAAATCACAGAGTTTGAAAATTTTCTAATTTCGGAATTATAGAACATTTGGGGTTCATTAGCTGTTCAAATCATGAAACATAATTTACTCCTAATATTTCGCTAGCTAAGTCAAGCCACATTTATAGCTAGGCATAGATACGGTTATTGCTGTCTTACTTCTGTGAGATGTCTTACTTCTTACTAATGTGAGAAACAACGAGGCCGTCTACTGCCACATTTCGCATCGCAATATGACAAGCTATTCGAACATTCATCGATATTTCATTTATATATTCAAAGAATAACGCTTGTCAGTAAAGCTCTTTGGACCGAATTACCTTTTTGCTGAGTCCTTTCTTCCTGCGGGTGATGAGGAGCATGTCGTCGAAGAGGATGACGTACATTTCCTGCGGCTTGTTGTTGTCCAGGAGATGAAGAGCGCCCTCCATGATGATCTGGCGTCGCGGAGACACTATCAGCCGCTCGCACGGCTGCCGGGCAATCGCGCTCTGCCAAATAAAACACCCATACTTAAGCTTAACTAATCACAAATATTCTACGCAAATATTCTATGACGCTTATATGTTCGTGGAAAATCGCGAAGCGGATTATGTCTTCTCGCAGGAGATCTAAAGCGTTAATAAACAATACGAAAATTATACTGCGGTATGACATGCTAAACTTAACGAGTAGCTTCTACCTTGTCAGGCCAGATTATCTTCGATGTTTTTCTGCGGAAATACATATGTGAGAGAATTACAAATGTTTTGCTTTGAAAATATATTCAAGGATTCAAGTTTAAGTTCTGAGGAATCAATAGTCCAAAAAGTAATCCTAAGCATAATGAAGAAAGTTCATATACGTAGCGTCGCCTTGCGCATATTACTTCATTTAATATGTTATGGATCAATATTCTGGGTTCACTTACTTAATACTTTAGCAAAATTATCGTATCTTGATCAAAAAACAATCGGTGATTCTCGTAATCTGTTGCTATAAAGTTAAATCAGAAGAGAATGTCCTGCCATTTGAACGTATAGTTCCTGGATGAATAAATCGCATTCCACCCAATACCTGGAACCTTTAAGTTTGTGAGTAACAGTTCTTCGTACGGTAACCTAATCATAGCTTCAACATAGGAGTGGAAGACTTTCCACTTTACTTCCCACATGGCATTTACGAACAAATTGAACCCTCAAATATGTAGAAGCTATAGGGTAACATGGGGAAACGGTACCACTGCGGGTCATGGGCCCATAGCCGGTTTCCCGCTAAGTATGTCAGATATTGGTCCGTGTTCTCTACCGCCGGTCGACAGTTGCATTGGGCTGAAGTGTGTGACTCTACATTTTGCTAAGATTTTGCGTTGATAAGTTAATCGCAAAAAACTGTTTTAGCCCAGATACAAGTTTTTCTGCTGCTATATAAAACTGTTACCAATTACTTTATATGAAGCTTTTGAAATTACTGTGAATTATATTTTGAAAGTATTATTTATAGGGATAATTTTGAGTTCAAGTTTGAACTATTAGCTTTTAAAATAAAATGTTGACACGATATAAATTGAAAAGATACCTATAGTGGGGCAACGGGCCCACGCGTGTCACGGGGCAAAGCGCCCATGGTGGGCTCATTATCCCTCTGTGAAGTCTTGTGTTAAACATCATTAGATTTGTCCCAATGAGCTTTTCAAAACTATGACTAGATATTTGAATTAGAAATTACACTTCATATTGTATGATTTTTTTATTTGCTGCAAGGCAGCAGGTTCTAGTTATGCGTATTTATGACCCCGAATCGAGTTATTGACTCATACCTTGCCAAAAGTTGATTTCAGTCAACACCAATGAGCCAAAAGTTGATTAGTTTTTATGGTGTTGGCCGAAATCACGGTTAAGTACGAATTCCCTGCACATAATATCTGGATTATGGACGAATCTGGAACGAAGTTTTTTTTCTAGTCAGAGATACAATTTTTCATGTCGAGGATAAATTTTTATGGTAAGGTTATATTTTTCATGTCGAGGATATATATTATTATGCCAATGAAATATTTTTTTTCACGTCAGTGATTGATTTTTTAAGACAAGAACATATATCTTCATGTTAAGGATATGATTTTTTAAGTTGTTAATAAATGAATGAATGCAATATTTTTTATTACATTCTTCTTATTTTGAACTGTAAAGTGTTGTTTTACCATTTTTAAACAAAATATATGCAATTGTGGTAAAGGGGTGAGGGTATATTTGTGGTAAAGGGGTTATGCAAATATATGCATAAACATTGCCCCAGGGGTGGGGCAATGGGCCCATTTTGACACTTTTAACAAAATAGTGTTTCATTAAAAATAACTTTATAGGCGTCCAATTCACATCATACATTCCTCATTAGTTGTAGCTTTAAACAAAAAAAAAAATACCTCGTATCAATTGAAACTTCATCAAAATTTTAGTTTAAAAAAAGGAGGGGCCCGCTGCCCCATGTTACCCTACCATTTATTTTAAAGTGAATATGAACTAAATATAGATTACACGAGAATCTGTCATTAAAAATTAATGAGCCAGGTTTAATGATGTGATTAATAATAAATTGCTTACCATTTTTCCCACAAACTCCACTGCGCATGTGGCATGTGGATGGAAGGGTTGCACATCTTTTGACTATTAGTTATAATTATATAAACTTCAGATTCAAAAAGTTATATCGTTAGCTGGTTCTTATAATGTTTTGCAATTCTATGTCGTGGGTTGTTATTCAACTAACAGTCATACATTTATTTATGTCAAGCTTTATGCGTAGGATAAATTTTCAACACTTATAGCTTCTGGAAATTTTATTGACGGTCTTGAGTGGATGTTACAAAATTTTTAGTAATAAATCCTATCATTTGTTATGAATTTCTTATATAAGATAATACCTTGAGTTATTTAGATTTCATTACTGATGACTACACAGTAAATAAGTTTAATTTATCAAAATATTTCGTTCCCAAAGCATGTCCGAACTATCGCTAAGGATTGAACTGCTATAAATAAACTTTAGTACTAATAAAAAGGCTGACTGAAGGGCTGAAAAAAATTGAAATGGAGAGTTTGTGGTGTATTGCGATAAAAATACACCTTATCTTCAAAGCTCGCGATCTTCAGAATCATAAATTACATTAAAAAAAATTTACAGAGTTAATAACGAATGACATAAATATGCAACCCATATTACTCTGGTAATAGTTGAAGTATATGTAACTATCGGTGTCGAAATAGTAAGCTATGTATCATCGCGAATATATAAACATATTATTTTTATGCAAAGTGAGTTCATTTCACCTATTAAGACACATAAAAAGACGTTTAGGTGTATGTGTAATTTTATAACTTTCACTGGGATAAGACGTTTCATCATGTTGTTGAGAATCGGCAATATTTACTCCGATTTCCAGCCCTTTAACAGAGGCCACATATAAACGTTGCATTCGCCGCAGTACCTCGTTTGTTTCCCTTCATGCGTGAGCCTCTATGTGGGCCAACATTATTGAAGGTTTGTTTCCTCCAATTTTTTGGTCCCGCAGATTGCTTGGACCATAACGCTAATCGTCTCAGATGCGAGCATGCTTGTGAAAATCTTGGGTGCAGCGATATAAGGACTCCGTTCAACAAAGGATTTTTCAGCCGTTCTTCATCCTACTTAAGCTGCAGAATATTTTCTGCAGAACAATCTATTTATACAAAGAAACAATTTTTATGAATAAATTTTTCTATCGAAATCAGTCCTTAAATGCTGAAAACTTCATAATTTATTTAGAATATTGAGGTTGAAAACTTCATAAACAAATAGGAGAGTCAAATTGAGTCGGTGTATTGCTTCATATTAGGACATATGCAGCCATATAGCCAATAACCGTTAACATTGACAGCGATCTGAAGAGGTTATATAGAGAGCGTCAACTAATCAATGCGTTGCAATGATTTGAGCATACAAGAAACGGGTTTTTCTCTTCTCGAAATGTTTTTGCAAATTTAAACAATTAAGGTGATTATTCAACAGCTAAGTGAACATCTCGTTGCAATCTCTATAACAGTTGCGTTTTATTTTCCTCTTACTTCGTTTTAATTGTAATGTAGAAGTAAAAAAAGTATCATCCAATCATTTTTTTATTTTTAAACCACTTCCCAGTTTGCATTGGCTCAAGTTTGCACCCCTGTTGATAACATTACCGGTTCAGGGAATATCCCGACACGATAAGAACGGCGGACATTCTTTCGAAATGCTTTCATGTAATTAGAATACCAAGCTTCAAGCACACGAATGCGAATTTGCCTTGAACTAATATGTAATAGATTACAATTAACCTGTGAATGAATTGGTTGGGAGATTTCGCCTTTGCTTGTACCGAGGCACGGCGAATATCGGCGACTCATCGAGTATTGGAGAAAAAGAAAATAATCAGAAACCAAATAAACTTCTTCCCTTCTTTGACCCGGTACATGCATAGACACGGGAGAACATTGGTGGGAAGATTCTTTCGAGAAGCTCCTTCCAGCCAGCTCATTACTCTATGGAAAGTAGTAAGCTTTGCAGCGACGAGGTTTCGCTTATCCCACGTCGGTTTGATAATCCATCACTAGAAAATACCATGTTGTTGTTGTTACACAAGTAGATAGGATTTCTCAAGGGAACTATGTGAAATTCCGTATGGAGATATGAATGGTTCTTCTCGTGGAAACTAAAAGGTTTATCCGATCAGCGTAGAGAGGAATATTGGTTAAAAGATCTTCGTGGAGTTAATGTTCCATGATGTTCAATGATCATATGTTTAAAATCCCAACGTGTTATTTGAACGTATGTTCACAATCATAACGTCACTGTAAGTTGATTTCAATGACGAATTACATGCGAAATTTTTATGTTATGGCTTGCTGATTTAATTCTGCATAGATCTGAATACCTACCTCATACGGACTTTTTTGATCTATGTTGATCTATGTAACATATGTTTATTTAGCTTCAAATGCAAATATTACCTTTTGCCGACAAATATAATTTTAACTTTTAACACAAGACATTTATTTGGAAAAAATAAAATTCGATAAGAAAAATTAGGCTCATGACATTCAAAATTGAACGTTCGACGAATTACCTAAACGGAGTAATTCTGAACGAAGGAGTTTAAAAACATAAAACTGTGAATTCTAACAATTTCCCGTTGTTTTCACAGAATAATGATATCATCATTAATTGCATTTAAAACAGAATAAATGATTCTGGCGAAGAAAAATCGGTTGAGAGAGATGAATGAAAATCTATGATTAGCAAATAGATTTAGAGTGAAAGAAAACTAACCACAAAGTATCAAAACAAATTTCTTGTCGCAAAATATTCATTTGCTACTAATCCTAAACTTTTTATCACACATTCCTGTGGATGCTTTATTATTACATAATTCACTTACACGGACATTCGATATATTATGTCGATTCTGGAATTCACACCTCGAATGTAACAAGCGTTA